TGGTTTGGTCTAGCAGCCCCAGAGCAACGGTGGGAGAGACCGTCTGTGGGGCGGGTCATAGAGAAGGGAGCCACGTCCTTGCAGGGCAGGCTGCCCCGACAGCCACGCCCCGTCAGGGGCCTGGGAGGCAAGAGGTGACGCACCGTGTATATCCCCCCTCCCGAGAAAACAGCATCACACACATCAGTGTCCCAGCACAACTCAGAGCAGGGCACCAGCAGGTCTCCAGGGTCAGGAGTCCGGGCCAGCCTTCTTGGGCCGGCAGCGCGAACCCACACTGGGCCTGCGCATACTGTGTCCACTGCGCCTTAGCAGCTGCCCACAGCCAGCCTCGCTCTCTCCCCACGGCACGTGCGAGTCCAACTGTTCAGAATAATTCAGATTCAAAACAGGTTCTGAGGAGTCGGAAAGGGACCAGGACGCTGGGCCACGAGGGAGACTACCCGTCTTTGTTCTTTGGTCACTGTCCTTTGGGCAATGGTGACCTGGGGAGACTGGCATTTTTAAAAATCGCTGTGTGGAGAATGAATGGGGAGGGGACAGACTGAATGAGGTGACTGGGAGGAGCAGCAGCAGTAGAAAGAAGGGCCCTAGCCAGTTTGGCTCAGTGGAGAGCGCCTCAGCCTGCGGACTGAAGGGTCCCGGGTTCAATTCCGGTCAAGGGCACACGGCCGGGTTGCGGGCATGGTCCCTCTGCAGGAGGCAGCCAATTAATGATTCTCTCTCATCACTGATGTTTCTATCTCTCCCCCTTCCTCTCTGTAATCAATAGAAGTTTTTTTTTTTTTAAAGAAATAGAAAGAAGGGGAATTGAGACCTAGGATGCGGGAGGCGGGAGGCTTTCATAGTTAAGTTCATGAGGGGGCAGCGAGGGAGAGGGAAGGAGGAACTGTTATGTAGCCTCATAGAGATGGCAGGTTTCTTGGGTAAATAATAATTTTAAGGTTAAAAAAATGACAGGCAAAAACCACTGCCCGTCTCCCAGCTGCAGGTGGTGACAGAGCGCGTCCCGGGCGGTCACCTCTGTGCCAGGCTGAGGACGGCCCGGAGCTCCCGGTCCTGCGTCTGGGGACAGAGGGACATCCGGTCCACACCGCACATGGGTTCATACTGAGCTGAGTTTTCTGGGGGTCCTGGTAAACGTGGGTGCCTTGTCTCTGGCCCCACTCCTGGGGGGTGAGAGCTCGGCCCGCCCAGGAGCAGGCATGGGGCACAGCCCTCCGCAAGCAGCATGGGAGACCTTCTCTCGCCTCCACGTAGGAGGTGGTGCCTCCCACCTAAAGATCCACCTAAAGCTACTACTGATCTTGTAAGTGGAATGGTTTGTATCTGAAGCCCCAGGAAAAATGTCAAAACCGGGGAACAATGGAGCCGGGAAAGATGAAGGCATAGTGCCTTAGCCGAGCGGCCCCTCAGCCGCCCTCCAGTCACTGTGAGTTCTGGTGCCAGGGCCTTCGGGTGGGGGAGCGGGGGCACTCAGGGGCCTGTAAGTGTGGAAGCTCCTCTCTGCAAACTCAGTCCTCCCTGAGGACACCCGAGTATCCAAGCTTGCCTAAAAAGCTACCCAAAGTCTACTTTAAAGTTAGTCAAATTTGGAAGCCATTACAAAAAAACAAAAAAGGACATTCTATAAGGTGCATTTGGGGCTGCCAAATCACACTGTTTCCTGATTTCTGTGGTCTAGTCACTTAGGACTGGTCGGTTCACTTCAGGGCGAGGAATGGCCTCCCAGTTCCCCAGCAATCTTTGCTCACTGAAAGGGTGGGGCAGCCTTTTATCAAGAAACACAATGGGGCTGTAAACACTGCCTGGGCGGGACTCAGACAACCCCTGCACCTGCCCGCTCCTGCACCTGCCCGAGACCAAACCCGCTTCAGTGCAGCTCAGCCAACCCTCTGTGGCCCGGGCAAGGCGCCAGCGGGCACAGTCAGAACAGTCCAACAGGCTGCCGCTTCTTCCGCTCCCTAAAAGCAGAAGCTGCTGCACACACAGGATAATGTCATGCCAACGACAAGCGAAAAGAAAAGCAGGGCGTGCTTTCTCCTCTCCTGGAAGGGAAAGCTGGGGCAGGTCGCTGGGGTGCTAACCTGTGCCTTTAACCACGAGGGGAGAGGGAACGCTAGGAGACAGGTCTTAGACGTGGAGACGCACACGCCTTCTTGGTGTGCACCGCTGACCAGACGGGAAAGAGCATTTGGCTGTCACAGGCTAGAAGGCCGGCCCAGAGTACAGCCTGCTGACAACTGTGAGTGCATGTGTGTGTGCCTGTGTGCATGCGCACCTGTGCATGTGTGTGCATGTATACCTATGCATGTGCGCGCGCGTGTGTGACTGTGTATGTGTGTGCACCTGTGCATGTACCTATGCATGTGTGCACCTGTGCATGTGTGCGCCCTGTGCATGTGTGCACCAATGCATGTGCGCGCGTGTGTGCATACGCACCAGTGCACGTGTGTGCATGTACACCTATGCATGTGCCCGCGTGTGTGACTGTGCATGTGTGTGCATGTGTGTGTGTGCATGTGTGTACCTATGCATGTGTGTGCACGTGCATGTGTTTTCCTGCTATGATTTGTGGCAAGAATTAAAGTAAGACCTAGCAATGAAGCAAGAGCTCACTTGTCAGGGCAACAGTGCACTTTGCCTTTTACACTCTTAGGGATTCGCTTACAAAACAGCATCCTGTCCAGAGTACAACGTGCTGGGTGCCGGCCGCCACCGGATGAAGTTAATGATTCAACCAGTGCCCAGCCCGGAGCCCGCGGACACCGTGAAGGAGTCTGCCGCATTAACTGCTCACTTCCCTTCCCACCTTAAAGACATGTGCTCATAAAAGCGGGGTGAAGGCACCCTGATGCTCTCATCTTGGTGCCTAATTACAAAACTGAAAGGAACCCTGGGTTTAGAAACAAATGAACTGGAAGCCAGAAACAGTGTCATGTGAAAGAAAGCGTTTTTAAGGAGCCTCCCATCCCAGTGGCCTGGGATCAGGGTCCCGGTGTTCCCATCTCTCTCCACAAATCACGAAGACAGGGTGGCCGATGAGTGGTCACAGGGGAGCGTGTGGACAGGCGCCCCGGGAAGGGTTAACAATCGAGGCAGTGTACTGTTAGCAGTGACCACACATCACCCACCCTTCCCAATACGCAAATGGCCCCACTTTACTTATAATCATGTACCTTCACCACGGCCACCTGCTACAGAGAGATATTCAAACTCATTTCGCTGCCATCGTTATTTTATCATTAAGCCAAGAAAGAGAATCACGTAAGGCAACAGGTGATCGCTAACCACACCCGCATTCGCCTCGGCCCCGAAGTACTGACTCATTACGCTGGTACCAAGTGCACGTGGCACCATCGCAGCGGGACAACGAGCTATCGCCTGACCGGGAAGTTACACACTGAGACTCAGGCAAAATAAATAAAAGCCCACTGCCGCCCTGAGACGGGTGCAGCAGCGTGGGGCCTCGGGACTAAGGGCCAGGAGGGAGGGCAGCTGGGCTTCTGGTTGGGCAGGGCGCCTCCCTGCAGAGGGGCAGTGACCAGACGCTCAATCTTGATGACCTCTCTCAGCTCAGGAAAAACTGGCTCCACGCAGAAGTGCCCTATAGAGCGTGAGCACCCGGAGGAGGCCAGGCCAGGCCTGCCCTGAGACACAGCCTGCACTCAACGCTGTCTGGTCCCTCCGTCTGCATTCCCTCAAAGACTTCCATGCTCAAGGGACAACCCGGGTACGTGGTCCACTCCCAAAACTCCCAAACCGCAGGGCACAAGGGCTGCAGTGGCTGTAGTGGCTGCGGCCTCCCATCCGTACCCCGCTGGGAAGCAGACGTGAAGGAGCCTGGGCGGGAGGCTTGCTCCGTGCCCACTGATCTCTGGTTCTTACCAGCATCACGCTGTCTACCACCCGGAGCAAAGGTGAGTGGACCAAAAGGTACCCAAGGGCGGCGATTGGGTGCTGGGGCTGGAGCTGGGCCTCACCGTGGGACAGAGCCCCCGCCACCCATTCCTGGCAGCATCTCGCGGGCGGGATGCTCATGGAGATGTAATTCACCCTCCCGCCTAGGAGCCTCCAAGTGGTGTCTACAGTGTGTTTGTATGTCAAACATGTGTGCATTTTACTGTTAGACTTGAATTTAAAAAATATATATATTTTTAAACACACCCTTCAGCATTCTGGAACTAAATGCCGACCTCCTTCCCATGGCCTGCAAAGGCTCCGTGACCTGCCCCGCCCCCCGTCCGAGGGACCCACAGGCTGCTCACTCTGCTGAGTCACACTGGCCCTCCCCCTGCCCCTCACACTGCCCCTCCTCACGGCTGCAGGGGACACACCACTCCTTGGAGAGGCCTCCAGCCTACATCAGCCCCTGGTTCTCACTCGCCTCATCCTTTCCCTTTGCAGCCTTCGTTATGTGTGGCTTTGTTTACTGCCTCCTTCTGCGAAACTAGGGGCTGGGCTGCCCTGTTCCCCAGGCTACTTCCTGCTCGTGGAACGGCGTCTGGCATAACGGAGGTGCTCAAAACTCCTTGTGGAACCCACGTGCGCCCTTCGACGACACGTCTCTGTGCCTCCGTTTCCCCATCTGTAAGATGAGCGTGGCCACCGCTGTGGCGTTTCTGCCGGGAGCAGGTGCGGAGGGGACAGTCCCCCTCTCCCGGTTCCAAGTTAAATGAGTAACTGTCCACCCGAGAAATTACTGAAAGACCGCGACTTGCTAACCATTAGCCACTGAGGCGATGAAGCCCTCGCATCTCCTGGGCCCTCCTGGGAAGTCCCCTCAGCCTAGATCCTCGAGGCTGGACCATCGGAGTCCCTTTATCTGCTCCTCAAACAGCTTTATTTTTCAGCCCTGAAATCTGGGGGCCGGAACTCGCAGGGGGAGACGGTTCCAAGACCCCCTCCCACTGACTGTTATTTCAAATCACGGTTAACCAGTGTCGGACCCCAGCGGGCTGCTCGTGTGTATAAGAAGGGAGATGTCAAAAACAGTTTACCTATGATGTTCACCGTACTATCCACTTCATTTTTTATAGCTGAAGCCAGGACCGCGTACTCAGGAGAAAGATCACTTACTCCATTACTAAGCCCCAAAGATGACTCAACTGGTTCTTGCTAGGAAGAAGAAAAGAAAACAGAATTGAGAACACTTCCTTTCCCTCCCTCTCCTCCGCTTCACTTCTACCCTCTGTCACTTTCTTTCACGCTGGGTCATTCGCTCCCTTATTCCCGTCAGCCTGGAGCCTAAGCCACCCGATTCTGCGCAGGTTCCTCCTCGGAGGAGGTGGTCCCATGTGGGTGCCTGCCTTTCACACCTGCAGCCATAGTACAGGCGGAGCAGCTGCGCCAGGCCCGCGTGCGGCACCTCGTGCCTAGATCCCACTCTTCCTTCTCCGAGGGCATGCGTGAGCACAGGGAGGAATCGTGCCACCCCTTTTATGATTTCTGAGGAAAAGCTCCTCCCTCCCTTTCTGAGGAAACCACCTCAATCACGGCCCAGGGACAGGAACCCTGTGGGTGAATTCTTCCAGATAAGGCCTGCCCTGGACTCTGGCCACTGAGCATCCTGCCCTGGGGGTGGGGGCCAGACGCCCAGCCAGGGCCTCCCTCCCCCTCAAGTCCATCGAGCAACCCACACCCACAGCTTCAGAGACATGAGTCCAGGTGCCTGGGTGTCCCGTGCAGCCCGGGAGCCACACGTTCCTGTGAGTGAAACAATGAGACCATTTCCTCCTCCTCAGGGTCACTCCTCAGGCCTGCCTTCTTCCTGCCACCAGAACCCCACCCCCAACCCCAGAGCCCAGCCACCGGGGAGCCGCCTGAGGGACACAGTGACTCAGCACTGTGATGGGAGAGGTCTCCCCACAGCAAGACTGCACGTGTGTCTGTGACGGCAATCGAGCCAGACCAAAAAAATGCCACAAGGACAACTGCTCTGGGAAACCCAAATGGAGAGGAGGGTGGAGGGGCAGGAGGAACACAGGCTGGGAGAGGCCGGGACGTCGGCAGGATTGTGCTGTGAAAAGTCCACGCCTCTAAGTTTTTATCAACTTATTTATGCACTACTTGGAATCAATGATGAACACACATTCCCCCTGCACCCCCGACACACACACACACACACACACACACACACACACACACACACAAAGTGACTTAGGGAGCCACTTAGGGAGGGAGGGGAAATGGTCTCCTTCCTTCATGATGCCACCTGGAAACGCCTACCACAGCACCTACACCTGCAAAGACATCACTTCACTGTACAGCTCAGCTCTAAAGGAGAAATCACACTGCATGGTTGACCAGATGTACCAAGGGGGGTGGGCATAAGGAAGGGTCCAGACAGCCTTGCGGGGCAGAGCCGTCGCCCTGTTCTCTGGCAGCCTCGTGCATCTACCCCGCTTCTACACGTTCCGAGTAAGAAGTCTGTCCTTCCTGGGGAATCTCACTTGTCGGTCACTTGCGTCACCATCTCAGCTCTTCCTTACGCCAAGTGTCTGGACACGTGCCTGTGCCCCAGGAAGCCTGCGGCCTGCCGCCATCCCACCCAAGGAATCGCTCTGACTCCCGGGGCTTGGGGGCAGGGAAAGACAGGCCTGGCTCTGCAGCCACACCGAGGGGTCAAAGCCAGCCTCCGCCTCTCACTAGTCGCTGGACTTCACCTCCTGAGGCCTCTCTGAGGGATGGAGGACAGCGCTACACTGAGAACAGGGCCCGTGTCATAAAGACGAGGGAGGACCAAGTGAGATAAGCACGCACCTGGCACGGATTTAAACAATATTCGCACCCGGCTGGTGTGGCCTAGTGGTTGAGTGTTGACCCATGAACCATAGGTCACAGGTTTGATTCCCAGTCAGGGTACATGCCCGGGTTGAGGGCTTGATCCCCAGTAGGGGGTGTGCAGGAGGCAGCTGATGGATGTTTCTCTATCATTGATGTTTCTATCTATCCCTCTCCCTTCCTCTTTCTAAAAAATCAATAAAACGTATTTTAATTTTAAAAATATTTGCTATTATCTCCAATCTCCAGTACAACTCTGCTCACCCCAATCCAGTGGCCTTTCCTCAAGTCCCCTTCCCTCACACTCCCCTCCGGCCCCCGACGGGAGGCCTGCGCGCAGCCTCTGACGCGGTGAGCACCTGCTGCACTGGCCCACCTTTCTGATGGCACCTTCCCTCTCTGGCTCCTCAGTGGCCCCTCTCTGCGTGTCCCTGCCCCTCACGCCCGCTTCCAGGCACTCCCACGTCCTCACTTCTCTCAAAAGCAACCACAGAACATCTGCAGGAATTCTGGGAGGAACTGCTCATTTTCATGGGTTTCTTTTGTTGTCTCAAGTTATTTTTCACTCATTCAGCTTCTAGGTTTCTTATCAAAGTAAGGAGCCAGTCAGACTTGCATATATTTAAAAGCCTAAATCATTCTAATTTCTCAATCGAAGACGTGTGTTTCACATGATCTCGTTTGATTAGTGGCAAGTGATATTTTGTCACTTTGCACTTGAGAAAACTATGACTCAGACACTAATTTTCCGAGATCCGGTGGAGACACAGGAACTGAACTCGGTCTTTGATCTGGCAACACGGTCCGACTCCAGGAGCTCCCTGTCTCAATCAGCCCCGAGTCCACACCAATCCCAGTGGAGCCCGGACAGAACCATTTCCAGCCTCCTCTCCCGCCCCCACCTTGCACCTTGCACCGCTTCTGTGATGGAGACTGAGTGCCTCTATTCTCACACTGCTTGGCTCCTCCCGTCCCCACTTCAGAAGCAGCCTGTCCATGTCAGTCTTCAGGGCGACCATCCCCTTGGCACATTCACTCAGGGAGGACAGCGCAGTGAACTGTACAGTGAAGTGTACCCCGTACTCCATCCGGGTGCAGGACAACAGGGAGCTTCACTATACTCGGCCGAAAGTTCAGTGATTGGAATGAGAATATCTAAACCTACACTCTAACACACTCTCTCTCTCTCTCTTTCTCTAGCAAGGAACCAAAATAAACACGGGGTGTGCAGCTGTCTATGGAGCCTATGTCTAGAGATCCTGCGGGTCATGCGTGAGCGGCCTTTGCCCACGATGTGCCCAGTGTCTCCCAGCCTCTGTGGTGCCCACTCCTGCCTGGCCTGGTGACTCCTGACAGCCTTGTCTTCCCATCCCCTTTCGTCCCTGTGCCCCAGTCCCTTGTCTAGAGGTCCCCTCCCTGAGGCCTAAGACAATGGCCTTAAGACCATTTCCCACCCTCATGCAACCCCCACCCCCAAGTTCATCTGTGCAAAGCCAATCTCCTCCAAGACAAAAGGAAGAGCACCTCTAGGTCTCTCTAAAACACACATTTAAAACTGACAGCTGGGCCTCATGAAAGCAGCCCCGGGCGCGCGCACTGCACCGAGGTCACAGGACAGGAGCTCTAGTGAACAGACGGAGGCCTCCCGCCTGGTCCTAGAACCCCTTCGTCCTTCCCTTCGCTCCTGGGAACGAGACCTTGATTCTCTTCCTCCCGCCACGCCCCCCGGACCTTTCTTCTCGGCTCACTTTCCTCGTCTTGTCCTTGGGTCTCGGTCTTCTTCCCGTACGGCGCCTCCGTTAGAGAAGGCACCTGTTTCCAGGGCCTCCGATGACATCCTGGAGTACGCCACCCGCATCTGCCCTCCAACTCTACCTGAGCTCTCCGCCTGTCAGACCCAACTTCCCCCAACGGCTGCCTAGAGGCTATCATTTCAAACTCACACGTTCAGAGTTAAACGCTCCCTCCTCCACAAAACACACGCCATTCCCACAATCCCGTGAGGGCTGGAAACACAGGGCCTCCCCTGGGACCCTCTCCTGGCTTCCCCTTCGCACTCCTCCCTTCTCCAGAGAACTGTCTCCTGCTCCCCAGACCAGCTGCACCTCCTTCACCTAAACCTCCCACCGCAGCCCCTCCTCCCCACCGCTTCCTGCGCCATGAGAAACCCCTGCCTGCAATGTCAACTCCATCCTGCCCCACATCCTCCCAAGGAGCTCAGTTCTGCCACGTTTCACAAGATCCCGCCGTACAGCCCCCAGCTTTCACACTGCTCTGAGCAGCACCCAAGTGATTAAGGCTTAAAACTCGAGACCGCTTGCCGGCAATGAAGGGATTGCTCTACTCTCAGCCCTGACAGGTGGTCATGCGGCCTGTCTTGCCTGGGACAGGGACACAGAACATGCTTTTTTTTTTTTTTACCAGCTCACCTGTTAGAGCCAACAGCTCTATTGGAAAGTTCCGCTAAACCATCACCCGCTTTCTGAAACTTCCACCCAAGGTCTCTCTCATTCAGAACTAACCCAGAGCAGGCCTGCTCCTCACCCAGTGAGTCAGAGGTCCTCCTAGATCCCATTTTCCATCCTAACACCAATTCTTTGATCTCGAAGCACTTCAGAGTGTCAAAGCTTCCATCTTTCATCTGCAAACGATCCTCTGAGGCAGGAAGTATTCATCCCTCCCCCTCTCTCCCTACGCCTTTGTTTCCCATTGTTCCCTCACTAACTGCGCCAGTTTCCTGGCTCACACCGCAGCCCTCCTCTCCAGGCCCTTGTGTGTGATGCTCCCGGGTGCTGGAGAGTGATGGAGAGTGAACTCCGTTTTATTCGACCCAACCCCCAGGGCCTGGCTCCAATCCCACTGCCACTGAGCGGTGGGGAGGCCCCGAGTGAGGGTTCTGGGGTTGGACTAACTTGGATTAAATCTCCAGCTCCACGAAGCAGTGCAACCTCGGGAAAATTACTCAACCTCTCTGTGCCTCCATTTCCTCATGTGCGAAAGGGAGATGACCTGCCGTCACAGGGAGCACTAAATGAGGTGATAGTTAGAGCCTCGCACTTGGTGGAGGCCCCAAAACGTCAGCTACCACGCCTCTGCTTTAGTCACCTCTGTCCTCATCGATCTTGACGTTGTGACACTTCTGAAACACACATATGCACAACCTAGAACACTATGGTGTCCCTTAGTGTGACTTCCTTAGACAGACAGTTAGCTCCGTGCCGGTGCGTCTCCCTCAAGTGAGAACGCTCACTGAGCACCCAGGGTTTTCTCACTAGGAGACCATCGGGCACACGGAGGCACGTTTCTGCACCTACTGGGCCTCCCAGTCCCGGGGAAGCTGTTTGCTGAGAACACGTGACACGGAGTTAAACTGCCTGAGTGACCCCACAGCCAGCCCGCATGCTCCGAGCATCCTTGGCTGGTTAAAACCTCCATCCACCTGAACTGAAGGAAGACTGGGCAGGGCTGGTTTAACCGCATTCTCGGTGGAAGAAGGCCACCTGGCCTATCCAGGGGCATGTGTGCCCGGGACATGCACACTCAGAGCTCGGTGTTTCTCATACAACAGAGAGCAACACATGACTAGCTCCGTGCGGATGAGGTCCTTCGGTGACACACCTCCAGAGACCCGCAGAGTGAGCTTTGGCATACTCTGCAGAAACCGTAGAGAACACTAGGGCTTTCACGGTCACGGGCCACAGAACCTGGGAGGCCTTCCCATGGCTGCCTGCAGGGCGGGTGCACGCAGACTGAAACTCAAGGGTGAATCGCCTGCCTTCTACGGAAGGAAGTGTCCCTCTGAGGGACCAGACCTTCGTCACAGGAAGATTTCACAACGTACCCTTGGCTGGGATGGAACCTGACCCGCACGGCTGCAGCTGACAGCGGACCTGTCACTTCTTTCCTGGGCTGATGTGGCCATGCCCCACCCAGGACTGTGCCTTCCACAACTGGCTCCTCTGAGGGGCCGTGGGGAGACACGGCCACTGCCAACGTGACTGCAGGTGTCCTGGACTTAGGGGAGCACCACGTGCCATCAACTCTGAGATGCACATTTCCACAACCCTCAGAGGGTGTGCCTCCTAATCAAGTATGTGCAAGGGTTTCACTGCAAGCTGCTTTCTTGCCTAGAGATATGTAAACGAGGATGCATCTTCTAACCCCCATGTTGGTTTTGGATAGTCGGTGGAGTGTGGGGGATATGTTTCATCAAAGTTTGTTGAAAAGTGAGCATCTGTTACTCCATTATTATTTCTCCATTAACTGAAACTGTGAAATGAAATCTGCATTCTAATGTAAAACCCCCACTCCCACACCCGTTGTATTTATTTACGCATCTACTTGGTCAGCGAACACTCAGGCGTGTGTTCAGTGATCAAATATACACTGATCACCTGTCCTGTCCCAGGCACTGAGCTAGATGCTGTGAAAGAGCAGGAAATAGCATCTAGTCATATTGGTGATTATAGCAACTTCTTCACACCCCCATATTTGTGGGGAACTTAGACTTTTCTGACTAAACAAAACTAATCAAAATCTAGGCCCTTAAAAACACCAAACTACGGGAAACTTGAAACAACTAATAGCTGGGTTTTTTTTCAATTGCAAGGAAAAAATTAATTGTTTTTAAAAAGTGAGGTAGGGGCAGCCTGTAAATTAAAAAACATTTAAGAGACATATGCAAAAACCACAACGTGTGGGCCTGATGTGAATCCTGATTTAGGTAAACAGGTGTACACAAATGACAATGTGTAGGAGACAGCTGGAAATCGGACACTGACTAGATATTTGACGATACTGGGGATTGCTGTTACTTTTTTTAGATTCAGTCATGATATCGTCCCATCTTCAAAGACTGCCTATCTTTTAAAGATATAGACTGAAATAGTCATGGAAGAAATGATAGTGTCTGGAATTTGTTTCAAAATACTGAGCTAACCCATATGAAATTATGGAGGTCAAAAATGACTGAAAAGCTGCAACTTTATATCAGATGTAGGGAAGTGGGTGGAGGAACTAATGCAGTCAAATGGCCATCAGCTGATTCATGTTGAAATTGGGGTGATGGTGTGCGGAGTCAATTTTACTCATTTGTTTCCTTCCTGTGTGTATAAAATTTTGCCTTGTGTGCAGTGTGCATTCCCTGTGTGTTTTTCTTTAAGTGTCTGCAATAAGAAGTTAAAACAAAATTGGTCCTTAACACTGTGCTATATTTAAAATAAGGCAAAAGCTAAAAATACTGAAAATGAAACTGGAGGTATGGCTATTAAAATACTCTGCCTAAAATATTTGTTTTCCGTTGTACATATGGCTGAAACGTTAACTATTTACCTACGTTTTCCCTCCAACTCCAACTACCTTCACACGTCAAACTTTATATCTGAAGTCGATTTTTCAATATCCTTTCCTCCCAGTGTGACTAACTGGCTTGTTTTTAAACACTGCACTGTCTGGACAGTTTATTTTTCTTCGACAGCAATTCCAGGTTAGACATCGGGATCCTCGCCATCTCCTTTAAGTTTAGTGCTAACAGTGTGACCTTGGCCTCGTGCCCCACAGCCTCTGGGTCCCCGTCACGCCGCTCTCTCATGGCCCCAGCTTCATCTGGAACAGGGCGCAGCGACTCAGAGGGTCTCCCCTCTGCTGGCCCAGGGGCCGGGCACTGCGCTGCCTGCTCTCTGCCCAGCGGCTGAAGCTCATGCTCAGCTTTGCACAGCATACCTGGCTAGTCACAGGGCTCCCCCATCTACACACAGAGATCCCCACTGCAGGGACTGCCGATGCACAGCCTCCTGAAAAACCCACACAGACACAGCCCTACGGGAACCTGTGGGCATGGTGAGAGCAGGCTGCACAGTGGCGCAGGAAAGAGCTACTGAGATCCACACCAACACAGCGTTTGATCTCATCCCTGCCCCCCACCCCCATCCCCACACACACCAATGGCCTCCCATGGAACAGATCTATAAAATATAGGTGACAGTTAATACAATTATATAATATTTAATATACCTTCAAACATATCTGATAGCCTAGAAATGTACTTCCAGGTTATCAGATAGTAGCTGGCTGCTGCAGCTTAGCTGGCACTAGGTAACCAGCTGGCGATGGTGTGGGGACCAGGGGGAGGCTTGAGACTGGCCAGCTCTGTGCGAATTGGTGACTTCATTCACAGATTTCTCAGTGAAACTGCGTGAAGCAGGGATACGTGTACCTGAGTCTGCAAGTGGGTCCGTGCCAAAGAGGAGACGTGTAAAGCACATAAAACACACACATTGCAAAAGAACAAAGATCAAATACTTCATAGGGGTCACGTTATTGGTTTTTACGAGACAGAACAGGAACCGTTTATACGTTCACAACTTTAGCCTTCTTCCTGAGCAACCGCTTAACTCTGTCTTCCTTTTCTGTCTTTGGTTTCTTTCCTGTGGCAACAGAAAATAGTTTGGGGTTAATGCATGAAGAACATACAGAGAAACAGCTCCCCTAAATTAAACACTTTCTAAAACTCTCCTAGAAGCCGTGCATGTGTTAAACTGTACACGTGTTAACCTGTACACGTGTTAACCTGTACATGCATTAATCTGTACATGCATTAACCTGTACACGCGTTAACCTGTACATGGCCAAAATTCCAAATGCTTTCCTGCCTTTGGTGACCTGAGAGTCATTCCCCCAGCCAGGTAAGGGCAGGATTACCTTCCAAGGTGCGAACTACAGATGTGGAAATAAGGAAATCCCAAAGGCGCTATAATCTATAAATCTCTATCAAGAGATCACGGCATTAGCAAGTCTGTGTGTCTACCTTTTTTAGAAGGCCGCTCAGATAAGGGCAACATCCGGTATACTCTGAAGGCGTTATTTCCTTTCTTTATACTTTTATCCTTGACTTCTTCAATATCAGGCAAGGAGTTCATGGCACATCGGAAATTCGCCTTCCATGTTTTTGGATCGGGTTTGTCTACTCCTGGTTGATGCTTTCCTAACAAAATAGCCAGAAGAATTAAGGTTGAGGAGAAGAGGGGGAGAAAGACTCACACAGTAAACATGTCTGGAAACACAGGACTGCTAGCCACCAAGTAGCACAGAGAACCAACCTTTGAGCCCCAGGCTATGCCGACAGTGGCCAATGCCCTGGTTTGCCCGGGACTGAGATGGTTCTTGGGATGCGGGAATTTCTGTTTTAAAATCTGGACAGTCCGGGCCAATTGGTCCAAGTTGGTCACCCTGAATTTACCAAACAGCTTGAGAAGAAATAACAACGGTAGAAGAATGGGGAACCAATGTAAGTGATACAGAAGGCTGGGAGGCCAATGAGCACAGGTAACCGGAGTGTCTCTTTTTCATCGGGCTGTCAGGTATTAAAAGTCCATTCTTGTAAATAGCCCCCTACTGAAATTTTGTTGTAAATAAATACATTCTTGGCTACCTTTTAAGGAGATAAATCCATCCAAGTTTATAGCTGCAGAACAAACACGTTCTTTATGACCCCAGCACACATGTGGGGAACGCAACCAGAATTCTACGTTAGAGGAAATGTAAGCACCGAGTTTCTGTGGGATGGGCGGAGCCTCGCTTCTGAGTGATGAGGTTTGTGGGCCCCCGCCCCCCGGCCCTGCCACCCCCCACCCCCACCCCCGTGTCCTGGATGCGCCTGGGGGCAAGTCACAGGTTTTCCAGAGCCTTCTTTACGAGCCCATAATCCAGGAGATTTTATATGTGTAGAAAAAAACAAAAATAAACACTGTGGTAGAACTGAAATTTGCTAAGAGAGCAGACCTTAAATGTTCCCAGTAAAATAACCCAAATAATTAACAGGTAAGTATGGGAGAAAGTAAAGGTGTGTGCTAACTCAACGGGGAGGGGGGGGGGGCATCCTTTCATGAGGATCACCTATCTAAAATCATAACTTTAAATGTCTTACAATTTTATTGGTCAATTATACCACAACTACAAGAAAAAAGAAAGCATGAGAACGACATAGGGCCCGCCCGAACGATGCGGGGCATCGATACCTGTGTGGATGGCCCAGTTCCTGAAGAGCGGTGCGTCCTTCTCCACATCCCAGCCGTGTCTCGCTGCATGCATCCAGGGGATCTGGAAGATCTTCTTTTCCTGAAAGGAGAAGCCAGTAAGAACTGCAGCCATGGGGCTCCGGCCACCGCTGTGGAGGCGTCTGAAGTTCCAGCTGGTAAGGTTCCCCACTGGGCATCCGCAGTAAAATCCCCCTTTCCAGGTCCAGCCTCGGCACCTGCCGGGTGAGACTGAGGGCCAGGCAGGGCCTGGCAGAACAGGAATGCGGCCTGTTCCAAGGTCACAGGCGATGACTTGGGAGATGCCCATGTGCATTACCTGTGCTGTTTTCTTTAAAGAACCACAGACAACTGGCCTCTGATTGAAACGTCTCGGGCTTATTTTATTCTCATCACTCATTTCCATCATTTGGTGAAGAGGAGCCCCAGCTGCCCCAGTAAATTAAAAATTAGGCAACTCTCTTGCCCTAACTGGTTTGGCTCAGTGGAGAGAGTGTCGGCCTGGGGACTGAAGGGTCCCGGGTTCGATACCGGTCAAGGGCATGTACCTTGGTTGCGGGCATATCCCCAGTGGGGAGTGTGCAGGAGGCAGCTGAATATGTTTCTCTCTCATCGATGTTTCTAACTCTCTATCTCTCTCCCTTCCTCTCTGTAAAAAATCAATAAAATATGTTTTGAAAAAAAAAAATTAGGCAACTCTCCAAAGTGACCCCACTGGTGCTGCGAAAGGGAAGTCGGGTGGATGAAGCCACTGTCACGGGACCAAGTGTCTCGATGGGCCGGAGCAGCGGCAGACACAGAGGGTCCCGCCTGCTGCTCAGCCTGCGTCTACGCCCTGCATGGACCGGCCGGAGCTTCCAGATGCTCGATGACCACAGCTGACACTCCTTTCTTGGAGTAAAGTCCCTCCCTAAGATTCTTATATCGGACCCTTTCCATCTCTCTTACAGCCCGAGAGGCAACTCAAAATCACTTACATCAACCCCGGCAAACACGACTAGACACTAGTGCTTTGGAAACAAAGTCACACTCATTGTAAAACCACACATGTAACCTGGTTCAACCGGCAGCACCAGGGGTCGCCAAGGTCCCCTGGCACCTTACATGTGACGACACATGCTCGCATGGTCTCACTTCTGCTTTTTGCAACAACCTAATGAGCTACATATATGTTATTAGTTCTAATTCACAGTTGAAGGAGCTGAGGAACGGAATTAAATTATTTAGCCAAGAAACTCGGCAATAAGTGTCTAAATTCCCATCTTCAGTCGCATCACAGCATACCTCGCCTCCGGTGCTCGAATGTACGAGATTTCCAGTTTTACAGGAGAACCTGCTGACTTGGATTCTATGGAATCCAAGCCCAGGAAAATGTACTTTTTAAAAATATATTTTTATTGATTTCAGAGAGGAAGAGAGAGGGAGAATGAGACAGAAACATCAATGACTAGAGATAATCATTGATTGGCTGCCTCCTGCACGCCCCCTAATGGGGATGGAGCCTGCAACCTGGGCACGTGCCCTGACCGGGAATGGAACCGTGACCTCCTGGTTCATAGGTCGACGCTCAACTATGGAGCCACGCCAGCCGGGCAGGAAAATGCATTTTTAAGTTCTTAGGCTAGTTCTGATCATTCCCAGCTCTGGGATCTCCACAGGACACACAGGGAAGGAAAGAACATGTCGGTAGGGATCTTCCGCCACTTTGGTCTCACAGTGAAAATAGAAAGGGTCTGCCGACCCAAAAGGGCTCAGTGCCTCTGCACAGAACCGACTACAAAGTCTGTGTGGCAAGCCGGCACAGCCATGGCATACTCAGCCCCACATAGGGCGCCTTATGTGCCGCCCAGCTCAGCCAGGTTTGGTGACCCTGAGAGGGACAGTGAAGGATGGAGAAAAGACAGACAAAACAAGAAAGCTGGGTCTGGGTGGGACGCTGTCCTCTCTGATAGAGAGACAGCACCACAGGCTACAAGCCGTGTCTTTATTTTATAGCCAGATTCCACGAGGCAAAGTAAGGGCGTGGTCAAGATGTTTACAACATTCTCGTGAGTTTCGATCCTACTCAACTACATGCACCTGAACTCTATCAAGCCCACATCACTCAGCCACGTGGGACCACGTGTTTGGACCATAGGTTCAAGCTCACAACCATAGCTGTTGGCTGTAACTGCTGGGAGGGCTCTGCCCTCCAAGCTGGGACCTGCACGTGGCCATGAGAGGACTGTGCCTTCTCATTAGTCTGAAGCTTGAATCTGTCCAAACACTGTAGCCGCTCTCCACAAGCCTGAACTGAGAGTATGTCAGGACATTTGAGAGTTCCCCAAAAGCTGTTAAAGGGGGAAATTCTGCTGTGTTTACAATTCAGTAAATAAAGAAGAACCGAAAGCGAGAGACTTCGTAAACCCGTTCTGTTCGTTCTGTATCGTCACCATGACTGCAGCGTTTCAGGTTAGCCATCTCCAAAAGGGCCGTCGCCAGAGCGGGGCTGAGTGAGATTTTATCGTTTCATGTAGATGAAAATCCGAGAGGAAGTCACGTAATGCAGTGAAAATGAACTGACTTCAGGGACAGAAGGTTTCCTCAAGTGCACAACCAGAATTTAAAGGTTTGTGCTTCAAGGCAGAGGCCCTTAAAGAATTTGCTGTTGCTCTTTTTTTTTCTAGGTCAAAGGAGTTCTGTGGGGACACAATCTGACATCGATCTCATAAGACACAGAGTTGATTCTCACAAGTGGATCTTATGTGCACGCACACACACACACACACACACACACACTCACACACACTCACACACACACACACAGCTACACAGCTAAACTGTCTCACACAGCTACACAGCTAAACTGTCTCCCAGAACAGCGGTCGCCAACCAGTGGTCCATGGACCACTGGTGGTCGGTGAGATCCGAAAGGTTGGCGACCGCTGTCCCAGAAACCAGGCCCAAAGCATGAAGCTACCAAAGTAGCGACTGAACTGAGCAATTCTCCAGACCGAAGAAATAGCCAATAAGCACATGAAGAACGATTCACCACCACCCCTCCTCCGGGAAATGCAAACCAGAACAATGTGATGCCATGTCACAGCCACTCGGACGGTGAGAACAAAAACACAACAAAATCCTAAGTGCAGGTGACGAAGTGGAGGAACGGGAACGCCACACAGGGCTGGCGGGATGGACACTGGGCAGCTGCTGTGGAACACACATGGGCTGTTCCTCAAAAAGTTCAACAGAGTCACCACGTGGCCCAGTAATTCCGCTCCTGGATGTGTCCCCGAAGAATTACAAATCGGTGTTCAAGCAAACGTTTACACATGAAAGTTCACAACAGCCCAAGGGCAGAAGCAACCCCAATGTCCAGCAACGGATGGATGGGTAGAGAAAACATCGCATGTGCATACACTGCAAAACTGGAGCATGCTTCAGCCCCCAAAGGACTGCAGTGCTGATACGCATATGCCGCAACATGGATGGACCTAGTATTGTGTGAACCAGGCAAATCCACAGACACAGAAAGCATATCCGTGGTTGTCATGAACTAGGGAAGGAAACAGAAAGCATATCCGTGGTTGTCATGAACTAGGGAAGGAAATGGGAGTGGTCACGTGATGAGGAAGTACAGTGTTTCCTTTTCAGGTGATGAAAAAGTTTAGAATTAGACACTGGGGATGGTTGCATAATATTGTGACTGTATTTAATGCCACTTTAAAATGATAAATTAAAAAACAACCACATGGGCCCAGCCAGCATGTGGTTGAGCATTGACCTATGAACCAGGAGGTCACAGTTCGATTTCCAGTCAGGGCACATGCCTGGGTTGTGGGCTCGATCCCCTATAGGGGGTGTGCAGGAGGCACTGAACCATTATTCTCTCTCATCATTGATGTTTCTATCTCTCTCTCCCTCTCCCTTCCTCTCTGAAATCAATAATAAACAAACAAATAAATAAATAAATTCTACATGGAACTTTTAAATAAACCACTAATAAATGCATCACACATCTTTTTTTAAAAAGACCATGTTGAAAGGTAAAGGTGAAATTCATTTTAAAACGGAAAGAGATTCTGACCAATAAACATTCTGGTCGTCGATCCCCGTGTTCGATGGGACGGTGATGGCACTGCCCTGCATCTGTGCAGACTGTGACATCACAGTCTGTGACATCAGCATGCGCTTCAGGAGCCCTGAGTGCCCAGCCCGCACAGGTGGTGGGCGCACACACCGTGTACGAAGGACTCTGAGTACCAGAGCCACCCGTGTCTACATCGAAGGGCAGGAGAGAGAAGCACTGCTTGAGTTGAGAAGAACATTTAAGATGACCTTGAGCAACGCAGAACAATCAGACCTTGGCCCCAAGTGGAAACCAGTTCTCTCATCTCCCTCAGCCTCTCCTCTCCCCCAATATTTATAAGATGTTCTAATTTCACTTGCTATTTTTGTTTGAACTCCTTACCTGTTCTGAGGTGCCCTGATAGTTACACAGGCAAGAGCCTGCTTTCAGGGAAGAGCAGGGAAAGGTCTGGACTCCCTGCTGGCCTGGGCCTGGAGAGTGGCCCGGCCTGGGTCCAGGCAGACCTCCAGCATGAAACGCCAACAGTGGGCATGATCGGAGCTGCCAAGAAAGAGTGGGCCTGGGCGTGGCTGCCTCCTCCCTCCTTCCCTCTAGAAGTGGCCCAGGGAACCACACACGAGCACCTGAACCAACCCAGAACCAACCTGGCCCTTCAACAAGCCAATGGCAAGAGGGCAACCAAGGAGGGCATACTGTCCACAACCAGGAGGGACTTCGAGTCACACAACCAAACACAACACGTGGACATTCTTTGGATTCTGATGGAAAAAATCAATTGTAAAAAGATATTTTGGGAATACTCATGGCATGATACTAAAAACTTATGGTTAATTTTCCTGATGGACAACAGTATTATGAAGACATGAGAAAATGTTGTTAAGTCTTATAGGTGTACACTGTCAGGGAGTTGCTCTATAATACCACACACACACACACACACACACACACAAAGATAAAACAAAATGTTGGTAATGGTTAAATCGAGACGTGCATTACTAAATCTAGACGGGAATTCACTACACTCTTCTTTCCAGTCCTTGGGCCATTCAAACATACTATCTGTATTTGCTAATACTCATACTAAAAAGTAACTGGCCCAAGCCAAGGCCCCATTCAGGTCACATGAAATGATCATATGGTTTCCTTAAGTCATTCCTATTTACTTCATGCCCCACCTTGTTTCAGACACGACTCACTTCAACAACCACATTCAAATACCATTCAATTAAAAAAAAGCAAAAAATAAATAAATAAAAGTGGATAAGGGAAAAGGAACAAAAAATGTAAGATCCGAGAGATATCTGAAACGATCAAATGAGGCCAGGAGTGGTATTAGTCTAAAACAATGATGCTGCAATACCCTGTACACCTGTTAGAAGTGGCCACAATCAGGCTCTCCACTCTTGGCACATGATATAGAGCTAAAGACTAACCAGCTAAATGAGTTGTCGTGTTCTTAAGATTAAAGATGGGGCGGGGGGGGGGGTAGAAGAGGACAAAGAAATTTGCTCAGAAGAACTGCAATATCCCTGGTGGTGGGAGAGAAACCTCCCTCAGGCCCTCTCAAAGAAGGCATCTATATATATATATAAAAAGCCAGCGACTGGTATGCCAGAACAACCAGAACAACCAGTTGCTATGACCCACTGCGGCCAGCCAACCTCCCACAGCTCCTCCCCGCAGCTGGCCTGGCCCCAATCGGCCCCCATCAGGGCAGGCAGGCCAGACTCCACCCATGCACAAATTCATGCACTGGGCCTCTAGTAATCTATTATATTTAGTTACTTTTCTAAATTTTAACTATATAATTTCAGGTATTCTTTATTTTTCACAGATACTGTCTTCCTGATTCACCCCTACCAGTTAGGATCAATTAAATGGAGAGTTCGAGAAGGATAAATAAGGAGTGTTTATGTATATGGGGGAGGAGTGTAAATGGTAGAATGCTTATTTGTTAGGACAGGTTGACACATAGAGTTTCACAACAAAGAGAAGACGTTTTAAACCACTATGCTGCACACCTGAAACTAATATAGAATGTCAACTGTAATTGAAAAATAAAAAATAATAAAAAAAATTTAAGAGAAGACTTTTTTAAAAGACAAAAACAAAAGTTCTCTTCACATAGAAAATACTGGAAACCAATCAATGCGCCCCATTCCCAACACGAAACCCTAGAGCAGGGGTCCTCAAACTTTTTAAACAGGGGGCTAGTTCACTGTCCCTCAGACCGTTGGAGGGACGGACTATAGTTTAAAAAAAACTATGAACAAATTCCTATGCACACTGCACATATCTTATTTTGAAGTAAAAAAACAAAACGGGAACAAATACAATATTTGTATTTGCATGTGGCCCAAGGGCCGTAGTTTGAGACCCCTGCCCTAGAGCCTCATGTCCTCTAGCCCTGGAGAGCCAGGAGGAGCAGCAAGGCAGTCCGAGAGGGAGGAGGGCACAACAAGCACAGCGAGAGGCCGCCACCAGCCGTCACAGAACACCAGTGGCCAGTTGAGACCACAATGCAAGGGCGGGCCCCAGTCTGGGATGATACAGATCTTCATGTCACTTGATGTTTCTATGATCAATTTTGCTTGGTTGGTTTTTGCAATTAACAAGCATAAGATTTTGAACACAAAGAACAATTTTACTTTCAGAGGTCCACATGCACATGCTTTAGTAAGGATCAGACACGCACACTCGCACATACATATACACACACACATATGCACACTCACACACACACATGCATACACATTCACACACATACACACTCACACACATAGATACACACACATACTCACAGCCATATACACATGTACATACATGCTTGCATACATACACACATGCATGCACACTCACACACACACACCATCGCACTCACCTTGTTCAGCCACTTCAGCCCTGGTATCGTGTTCGAGTTGATCTGTTCCTCTAGCCATGGGCGCATGCGCATCCTTTCCACCGGCATGGTGCCGTCTGCGGAGAGACAATCCACATTAGGCACTTCTGCTAATGACTGCCTTGTCCACACCGGAAAGTTCTACGCACCAGCCTGACCCTCTATTGTCCCCTTCCTCGTAATCCCATAGCCTGTGTCCGGGGGACTGGGGAGGGAAGCATATTCGGGGGTTCCACCCTCGAGCCACCTGCCCCTGCTCGAGCAGCCGGGTCGTTCCAGAGGGGCTGTCTCCATGGGGCAGGGCTGCAGGCCAAGCGGGCTCTCAGCTGAGAGGGTCCCACAGACAGAGGCTGGACTGGCAGAAACTCAGCTACCCAGAGGGCCCAGCACCTGAGTGACCCCGCCTAAAGCCAGGTCTCGCCCCCTCCCAGCCAGGCTGTGTTAACAGCACACACCGTCAAGGTCTCAGCATTCAGAGCATCAGTACTGTACACCTGTGGGCATTATCCTCCCAGGACCATGGGGGACAGTGCAAAACCATGATTGTGGGAAAGACATTACAACCAATTCATTCCTTTGGGATATTAGGGCCACAGAAATGCTTTGAACCCCAATATTGCCACTTTAAAGCTCTAAAGGGACCAGTTCACTGGGTCCAAGGTCCCTCCAGACATATTCTGTCCCCGCTCAGCGCTCACAGCACCTTGTGCTGGCTCCAGCCTTGCTTTATGTGAATGCGTGCACTCATTCACTCCCGCGAGGATCTTCTTCACTGCGCCCACCCACTCTGACCTGAAACCATCCGTCCTTTTCCTTCAACTTGCTTTCCCTCTGAAAACTGTCCCATGGCTAAACACCTTTTCTCTGGCAGCTCACATAATGCTCTTCCCTCCTGCCACATACATTCTAGGCATCTTTCCCGTGTCCATCAAAATATATCCAGAGTAGAATCACTAACAACTTACTGTCGCCCCCTCATCTTCATCCTATTTACACAAAAATTTCAATTTAGTGCGGATTCAAAAGCCAAGACGATGCCAAGTCAGGCCTCCATTCTATAGGACTTCATGGCCAGTGTGACATAATCCTCTTTCCACCCTTAGCTGTCTTTCTTTTACTCATTTCCTCTCAAAAAAAAAAAAAAAAAGAGCTCTGAGGATTCTATTCAAATAAACTTGGGCTGAGATGATCAAAGCCTCATTAACTCCCTCTTCCAGCTCCCAAAGGACGTCCTCCCTCCTGGATGCCCTGCCCCCAGCTCTGCCAGAGTGCTAGCATCCTTGCAGGACCCGCATGGGGCCGCACCCTTTGCCTATAGAGACTAATCCAATTCTAGAACGGAATTCTAGAACCCGTCTCTCCCTGGTATGTCTCCCCCAGTTTGGATGCACTCATTGCTGCAGACACCTCCTACTTCTTGCTCATACCATGCCCTCTCTCCTCTTTCCTGGACCTTGCCAACCCTCACCCATCCTCCAAGACCCAGTTCCCACCCTCCTTTCTCCACAGGACTTGCCAGTCCACACCAGCCTGAAGGAATCTCTCCTCCTGTGACTCCCACCCTACTCATTGGTCTTACACGCTCATTTGGAAATCAAGCATGGCTTTCGGAAAGCTATTGTAAGCTGTCTTTATTCTTATCTGACTCTTACCCTAACTATGAACTTTCAACTGTGTGCACTCTTCCTTCCTAACCAAATTGTAAGCTCTCTGAGAGTAGGAACTCCACCTCTTATAGGTCCTTTTACAATCCTACAAAGCCCTCCACCCGGGAGACCTTCAATACAAGAACCAGGCCAGTTCTGAAGATCAGCCTAGCTGGGTCGCCACTGCAGGTGGGCTCCATCCACTCATCTGGTCACCATTCTTTGAGACGAGTGAAAAGGACTTCAAGGACAGTCCAAAAGGGTGTGGAACGGCCACAAGGAGCCCCCAATACAGCTGCTCTTCGTGGTTCTCAAGTCCTTCCTCTCATTCACGTATCCACCTATTCACAGAGCATTTACTGAGAATGATACTCCAGGAGCGGGAAAAGGCCAGACATTCCCTGCCACCCAGGAGCTCCTGGCCTAACAGAAGACAGGGAAGAAGAGAATTGTCACACCACACAAAGAGCCCTGCTTGCAGAATGATGAGGAGTTACAGGGGAGCACTGGGAGGAGATGTCCACAGAAGATCCTCCTGGCGACTGGCCACTGGGAGGGCTCTGCCCAACAGGGTGATGACCGCCAACCCGGTCTCAAGATCTCGGGGTGCAGAGAGGGGGCAGCTGGGTCCAGAGCAGTACAGGAAGTAGAGGGAGGAGCACCCTGAGGAGTAGCTACAGTAGTCACACGTCTTCAGAGTGGACAACGTGACAAGCAGAACTGCTACGGGCCACTACCGTCCTGATGTACCTATCTCAGCAATACGGAAAGTGACAGGGATGTGAAAACGGCCCTGCTTCCGACTCACCGTTATAATTATATGCTATTTCCTCCCATATTATTTTTTTCCACAAATGACCCATTTAGGGGGGTAAATCGTCACCTGAAATATTTCAAAAAGCTTTCTGACTTTAAAACAAAAGCTTCCATGGGGAGGTACAGTCAGCCTCATTATTTGCGGATTGCACATTTGCAAAGTCGTCTACTCACTAAAATTGATTTGTAACGCCCAGATCAATTCTCGGGGTGCCTTCCCGGTCATGAGCAGACATGCACAGAGAGGTAAAAACCTGGGGTCTTCCGACACCCATGGTTCCAGCCGAGGTCCGACAAGACGACATTCTGCCTCATTTCACTCACACTGTGAACAAGTGTCCTTTTCAGTGTCTATTTCTTGCAATACTTTTCTGCTCTGTGTTGGTGATTTTACTGTTTAAAACAGCCGGCAGGAATGGGCTGAAGTGTGGAGAAAAGATGTGCCTCTCAGGCCTGAGTTAGTGTTGTTGGCTGGGAGTTCAATGTCAATGAATCAACCATTGTTAAATGAGGAGCCTTCACACAGAAACACACCTAGAGCGCAGTTACTGATTGGTGGATGCAAATGCTGTGATCAGAGCCTCACAGGAACCGAATGTCCTTGCAGAAGGAAGGGGATTTGGACACACACACACAGAGAAGGCCACGTGAGCACACAGACAGAGGGAAGAGAGCACACAGAGGGAAGGGGCCACTTGAGGGCAGAGGCTGGAGTGCTGTTGAAGGCAGCCATCTTCTGTATAATTACAGGACAACTTTGAACATATCAAAGACTCCCAGAATATTAGCACTGAGATGTTCTCCACGTCTTCATACATACAGTGATTAATAAAGCAATTTCAAGGGATTGTCATCCCAAACTGTGATCCACATGAATGTGATTAACACCAAGTAACTAAAGTGACTTATATATGTCCATGTGATGGTTTTTGTGTTGTTAATAGCCGGGGCATCCCTGCTGATACACAATGAAAAGCCAACCGTTTTACACGGAGGCACTTCCTCTTTTTTACTGATTTTATAGCCAGGTCCCACCTCCCACACTGGACAGGTAATGAATTACTTGGTCTTGGCACATGACACAAATGAGAAAGGGCATAGTTCGACACAGATTGCTCATGACTATCAGAATTTGAGCATGCGCTCTTCATTCCGTGAAAGAAAGCGAAGGTGGAGTTCTACAATGAGCCTGGCACCAGAAACTCGTCATGTAGTTTGTACTAAAAATATATTCTATTTCCGGAGACTAAGAGACTGGGAAGACAGTCACAGAGGGGCAGGAGACCAAGCACTGAGAGTACCGAGTAAAGAGACTCACTCGGCCTATATTTTCTCGCTTCCATCAATGAAATTGAAACTGATAGATCAGCCTTCTTTCTATAAGGCAAGGTTCCCATGGGCACCAATACCCCAGCCAATGAATCTTGAACAAAGTTAAAGAAGGTATGGAACTGGTAGAAAAGTCACAGAGAACCAAAATACAGCAGAAAACAGAACACCTGTGTGCAGTCCTGACGTTGCTGTTACTACGGGGTGTCCTTGGGCCAGTCACTCCCTTGTTCTAGTCCATACTTTGATCGTCTAAAAAAAATGAGAGGTTTCAAAAAGATAACATCCGGGGTTATCTAAGATTCTAGGAATCCTTGCGTAACACGAAGGCCCGTTATCTGATTTCCCTGTTTTGTGAGCTTTTAATCTTGTGCACTGTGTTGGTTTTAAAAGTGAATGCTGACATTTTAGGATTCTACAAATCTAAAATATGAAGTAGCCACCCTCAAGCCTGACAACAGGCACTTTCTAAAATCAGCTCCCACAACACCTCTGAGTTTTGGGGTTGGGGTCATCTTCAAAACCATGGCCTCGAGCTGTAAATCATCTCAGGACGTGGCAGGTATTTAGACTATTCCTGGCATCAGGGCTGCTACATAAAGGCACGCAGTTGGTCGCTGTGATTTGCAGGGTGTGAATTCACACATCCTGTGAAGCACATCCCCCATAGAGTTAACAATGCCTCAGTAGTGGCATTAACAGTGATCTTGAATTTTAATCTCAAAGAACAAGGGCTTGGATCTTGGTATAGAAATAGCAATGGCCCCTATTTATTGGGCACTCACTATATGCCAGCATTAAAACCAGGATTTTCTATGAGTTTCTCATTTACTCTTACAACCCTGCAAGGCAGGGACTTTATGACCCCATATTACAGACGAGAGGATCATTGGGGAAGTGTTTAAAGGCAACCCGCTCGTAAGTAGGGACGCCCAGACTCATTCAGGTCTGTCTGAAACGCCCAGGCTCAGCAACCCTAACCTCTGCTTCCTTCCGACTTTAGGAAGCGGTTAGGATGGGCTTGTAACTGTTCTTCCTACTGAGCCATTCCCAGCTCCTCTCTGTTTTGTGTATCGCTGGTGTATTAATCTTCCTAGAATGCCACTTAAATCATGTTAATGTTCTGTTCAAGAGACTTCTAAACCTCCCTGCTGGATTTAAGATAATAAAATCCTTGGCTGAGAGAGGGAGCCTTACAGGGACTACTCAACAAGAACAATGGAAGACCGGAGACAATGGAAAGATGTCTTTACAGGACTGAACGAAAATAATTGCTATTCAAAAAT